ACACACAAAAATTCTAAACTGAAACGTAAAAAATAAATAAAGTAACCAATATCATATATCTATAATATAAATGTAAACAAAATACAAACAGTAATATTACGTATATGAAATTAAATAAAAAGTCAAAAGTGCATTAGCTTATCTCACCTGTTCTTGCAGAACGCTTCAGGACCTTTTGCAGAACCTTAGGGTTCCAGGGAAGCCCAGTTGAGAAACGCTGCTTTATAATAAGACTCTATGCATTTAAACGCAGTACTAGATTAGCAGCAAGATCTAATCATTTCACAGTTAAATTGGCTAGATGTAGCCGTAAGTTCTATGCTAGCAGTTTCTTCTCTTGCACTTCTTGTTTGTGGAACTACTTTCCGACTCCATGCTTTCCAAGAAACACTAATCTGCAAAAATTTAGATGTAATGTCAATCGCTATGTACTGTCCTCCTAATTGTTCTTTTCTTTCTTCTCATGTTTCTGTTCCTGCAGTTAAATGGCTAGATGTAACCGTAAGTTCTATGCTAACAATTTCTTCGGTATTTACATTAGTCGGACTATTGTCCTCATCTTTGTCGCCATATTTGTCACAAAGTTTCGGCCGTTGTACGCTCCCTTCAGGAATTGAACTCACCTTCTTTGGGTCTGTCACTGGATCTAACTAACGCCTTTATCCACTGTGCCATGTGTCCTTGAGCACATCTGGGCATGAACTTCTGAGTATTATAAACCTAATGTTTTCAGCATCATTTTTACCAGTGCTCATATTGCAATTTTTGCTGTTATCATTGCATGTCTTTACCAGAGTTCATATTGCAAGGACACATGGCACAGTGGATAAAGGCGTTGGTTAGATCCAGTGACAGACCCAAAAGAAGGTGAGTTCAATTCCTGGTTAAGGCAGTGGAGAACTTTCAGAGGGAAAATTAGCAGGAGATAACTGATAACTGACATCCATCAAACATGGCACGTGGAACTAGAACAGTCTACCCCAGTGATCGAAATAAAGGGTTCAGTTCGAAATTCCAACCACCTGAAGAAGGCCGGAGCGTATAACGGCCGAAACGTTGTGTCAAATATGGCGACAAAGATGAGGACAATAGTCCGAATAATGTAAATACTGTACATAATACCTCATCTCAGAAATATAGACAGACTCTAACAATTTCTTTTATCACACTTTTCGCATGTGGAACTCTCTTCCGGCTTCTTGCTTTCCAGTCGTGTTTGATCTTCAAAAAATTAAAGGCAACGTCAATCGTTATTTTCTGTTTTCTTAATTCCTGTTCTTTTATTCTTCTCGTTCCTTAATAATGTTTCTCTTATATGCTTTCCCACTAAGTACACCCCCGCGTCTTAGTGGCTTTGTTGCCTTCTTACAAAGAAATTAAAAAAAGAAAGATATTGTCCTGTATACATTAAACATTACATTACAGTTCAACACTCTTTTTAGTGAACCCAACGATATTTTCCTCGCACTTAATTTTTTGCTTAATTTCTGAAATTTTTAAAGTTTGTAAAAAACCAGTGAAAAAAATCAAAATTAAACAAAATTCTAACAATTGGTGAGACCTCATCACCACTCCAGTACCGCGCTTGCATTCATAGTCTAGGTACTATGGCGAAAAAAATATAGGCTCCTCGGCATATTTTTCTTTAATAAGATATCTCGAATATTCAGGCTGGTAAAAAAATAAATGAATATATAGTTTAATACATAAACGAAGCGTCTACTTAAAAACGAGTATCCACTAAAAATAAGATTTAAAGTGTTAAAATCTGTCAGATTAATAAATAAAAAATTCAATACTCTTATATATATATATATATATATATATATATATATATATATATATAACAATAAAAAATATTAAAAAATTAAAATCTTCAGACATACTGGCTTGTATATTAATATTCTTTCGTTTTTGTTATTATTTCATTTAGATTCCTTGATTAGTTTCGGCCAACATGGCTATCATCAGGAGAAAAATATTTCTGCTTGGTAGTAGCAGTGAACTACAGAAATGAATGTCTTGATGGAGAAAATGAACTTTTCTCTGTAGTTTTCTTTTGTTTTTTCATTTTTTTAACATGAATTTTGGTCAGCCCTTGTGTTGGTCAAACAGTCTCTTTTAATTTGTTATTTAAGATAAGAGCTGGATGGATTCATGCTGCTCTGAATTCCTTTGGTCATTTTGACAGTTATATTGGTTCCTGGAAAGGGGGGGTCTGTTAATTGTGTCTGTGTTATTTGGTTCTTAGGAAGTGTGTGAGTATGATGTGTGTAAGCGTGTATATTACTATGGGTGTGTGTTATCATTTGGCTCATTAGGGAGTGAGTGATTATAATGTGTGTAAGTGTGTATATTCGTGTGGGTGTGTGTATAAGTAAGCATGTCTATCCTGTGTGGGCGAAAAATGTGGGTAGGTCCTGATTTGTGGGATTATATATTAATACTATCTATATTGTTAAATTTGTGATTGAGCCAGTCTGGATAGTGCGTTTTTAGACGTTGCGCACTTATTTTGATGGAACTCTAAAATCTTTCTAATCCACTCTGAACTTTTCTATTCTCTCAATTATAGTGAAATGCTTATATATATATATATATATATATATATATATATATATATATATATATATATATATATATATATATATATATACACCTGGTGACAAACCTAGGTTTCACCTAAACGGATCGTCAGGGGAAAGTTTGGCTGACGATCCGTTTAGGTGAAACCTAGGTAAGTTTGTCTGGCTCACTAGGTGTATCTAGGTCTGCTCTACGGTTGTATTGAGCTCTTTTGTTAGTTAGTTGTTTACTCGTATCGTTTTTTTTTTTTGGGATTCAGACCTGCATCTGTGCGATTTTTGTCGACAGAAGTTCATGTTTGTAGCTCTTTCTTTTTTTAAAACCTTTTTTTCCCTCGAGATTGATTTGATTAACAAATCAAAAATTCGAGAGTTTTCGAAACTAGTCTAGTTATCTATATATATATATATATATATATATATATATATATATATACATTTCACCCCAAGCAAGGCGGGAGTACCACTAGTAAGCAAGGGGTTGTAGTGAGTGAAAGTAAAAATCGACGTGGTTCGAGTGAAAATAGCTCATCAGAGCAGATGCTATGAAAATATTTATCGAAAAGACAGAGGGAAGCCACTTCACATCTGTGATAAGTGACTGGAGTCGAGGCCACAAGTCAGGGCCGATCGCATTGCATATGCGTCTTTGGATTTTGTCAATTCCGCCTGAATACAGATGTAAAGATACATCAGGCGCTTATCTGCCTTTGAGAGAGATAAGTTACGTGGGTCATTTGACACCCCGCTGAAGGATGTCACTCTATACAGCGACGAAAGAGTCGGTCATTTTTCAGTTCGTTTGCAGCACCGAAACGGTAAGGTCGCTATCTTTCGCTCGGGACCCTCGTGGTCCGGGCAAAGGTTAAATCCGCCTCGCCAGCAGCTTACAAGTCCATGGCGTCATTTCTCATTGGGGATATAACTTTCCTATTTATAGAATGAAACTCCAGCTCGCAGTCAACAATCTAGAAAAAACCCAACCTCGCTATTCACCATTCGTGTAACATGCCTCACCTGGAACATAGATGAAACACTGCTTCTCCAGACACAGTAGCATCTCCATATTATATCTAAGACCCTTCCTTTTTGTTGCTCCTTACACTCAGCTTTGCAGTAAAGATATATGTAATATATTACTCTCCGCGTGGGACAATTGTATCTATGTATATATAGATTTGTGTATATTTTTGTAGTATAAAAGTTTCTCTGAGAACAAAGCCTGCCATTTTTTTTTTCATTCAGCCATTCCGGTCTGTCCGTGAAATATCGATATTATGGGTAAATATTTGTAGATGCACGATTGAGCGATGGTGTACAAATACACCCTTGTGCAAATTAATTGAAACAACCGCGTTAGTTTCCTTTCTTTCATCCTACGGTCAGTTTTAGACCCAGTATATACATACATACATATATATATATATATATATATATATATATATATATATATATATATATATATATATACACAAATAAAGAGAAATTATAGTCAGATTTACAATACACAATATTTAGCATTTAGAACGGAAGTGAGGATGACATGTCTATTACAAGACAGACAATTCTAGACAACCACGAACTACATACCTACACCACCTGATCGTTAACCTACATTTTTCACTTTTACAATTTAACTTAGATCTATATTTAGATTCGTCAAAAAGAAAACAACACCCATAATAAAATTTTGAAATTGCCATTTAAACTCTTCAATATAATACGACTTCGCTTGCAGAAGTAAATCAATTTTTTTTTACTGAAGTTTTCAAGATCGCTTGGAAATGGAACAATAATTTTAACCTTCAGTTCCGAAAAATAGAAATTTCCGTGTCAGGATGATAAAATGTTTTCAAATATTTTAATTAATAATATTATAATATGTATATATGCATATGTGTGTGTGTGTGTTTATGTTTGCGTATGTGTGTTTTCAGCTTTCGTCTTGATTGCCACACCCTAAAATTTAATGAGATTTATTAATCAGCTGGCTGATTCTGCAAAATATACCATATAATATATATATATATATATATATATATATATATATATTATATATTCGAAGTTTTAAGGCGAAATATATTTACTTATTTCATGCAAATATGTCTGACGCCTAAAGTAATTTGCTGCAGAATAAAAATAAAATTGAACGTAGAGAATGAATCACGTGTCAAAAACAAATTTAGAAGAATGGTAGAAAAATTGTTTAAAGAGGATTTTTTTCTAAAGAAAAGGAAATAAAAGAATTTCTCATGTATTTCAAAGAAAAATAAAAAACAACGATAAAGATATGAATGAAGAAAAATATATGTATTTATCGATCTTAGAAAGTGATTGGATAAAACTGACGGTTTAGATGTTTCTGAACGAGTTTTGGCGTCACGTATGGCATCTGTAGGAAAGTATCGACCTGACAAGATTATTTAAGAATATGATTGGTGGTTTTAATTTGAAAGAAAGAAAAAAGAGGGAAAATGTGCAAAACATATCTAGAATGAGAAAGAAAGGATGAAAGAAAGAAAGACAAACAGAAAGAAAGAATGAAAGAATAAATATAAATAAATATAGAATGGAAAAGAAAGAAAAATGAACAAAGAAAAATATAGATTGAGAAAGGAAGAAAGAAAGGAAGAAAAAATATAAATATAAAATGGAAAAGAAAGAAAAATAAACAAAGAAAATATAGAATGAGAAAGAAAGAAAGAAAGAAAAAGAAAGAAAAAGAAAGAAAGGAAGAAAGAAATTAAATTTATAATGAAAATAAAGAAGAAAAAGGAAGAAACAATGAATATAAATATAAGATCGAAAAGAAAGAAAGAAAAAAGAAGAAAGAAAGAGAAAAATAAATATAGAATCAAAAAGAAATAAAGAAGAAAAATGGAGAAAAAATATAGAATGGGAAAAGAAAGAAAGAAAGAAAATAAATTTATAATTGGAAGGAAAGAAAGAAAGAAAGAAAAGTAAGAAAGAATGAGCATAAATATGAGATAGAAAGAAAGAAAGAACCAAAGTAAAAGAAAGAAAATTTAAATTGGAAAGAAAGAAGTAAGGAAGAAAGAAAGGAAATAAATAAAAAATGGAAAAGATAGAAAGAAAAATATAGAATAGGAAAAGAAAGAAGGAAAAAGAAACATCTAGGAATAAAATGGGCAGAATGAATTTTCTCGAATGACGTTTCAAAACTCATAACAATGTGTTAAGGTAATGGTAGGTGGCGCCACCGTACCTTGACGTTACGAAATGTCTGAACCTTTATAGTTTCAGGTAGGTAACTTGGGTCACAGATTGGTAGACTCAAAATGCTAACTTCCGAACTCTCCACTACAAAAATAATCCATGCAAGTGTAGAAGTACTAATCAAAGACAGAATGAAGATTTTAAATATTATATTCATATTATTTGGAATGCACATTTTGAGTCGGAAAATCTTGGAAATTTAGGGGATGACATCCTGACTTATTGTGAAAAGTGTGCACTGAGCAAAATAGGTTGAGAACCGCAATTCTAAGAGATATAAATGGAGGAGCAAGTGAACCACAGTGTCATCGATTCTACAAGTAATCAGAAAACGGGTATGAGGTATCAAGGGGTACCGTCAAAAATGTTATTAACAGCACCCTGATATTTACGGGGCAGAATTTTGCATGCGAAAAGATACCTCCAACTCACGTCCTATAAATATTCGACTGGACTCATGTCGGAGGAATTCCTGGTTATACCTTTCATTTGGAGTTTACATAATGCTACTTGAAACAAGTCTAAGCAACTTGTGCTTGAGTGCACAATACATTAACTTAATTGAATAACTGAAATAATAACGATAAATAACTGCTTAGTTTCCTTCTTATTAATAACAGCATCGTTTCTTTCCAGGTACGAGGGTGGGCTGAAAGGTTCATAGGCTGACTATGAAGGAGTGATCCTAGAGCTGTGAAATTTTTCATGCATTAATTTCAACTCTTATTAATAACAGCATCGTTTCTTTCCAGGTACGAGGGTGGGCTTCCGTATGGATAGTCCCAAGGAGGATGGAATCCTGAGAGCTCAATGTAAATCCAGAGCTAATAATTTAAAGAAAAACAGACCACTTTAAGGTTCCATTATAATAATTTATTTCACCAGAGCCCTTTTAAAGGACGCTGGATCATCAGATAACACTTCCAAAAATCAACCCCTGTTTCATCCTCAAGCGAAAATTTAGAATTCCTAAATTTTAGCTTGAGGATGAAACAGGGCTTGATACTTTAATTCAATTTAATTTCAGTAATTATAATGAGATTTTTGGCTCTCGTTTTTGAAACATGAGAACTCTTATGTAGCGAAGGAATCATATTTTTTTTTAAATAATTATAATTTAAGCGCTACTTCTGTGGGAGCACTGTTTTTAAAAATAAAACAAAATACTAAAGAACTCCGGATTATTTACCTAACGTGTTTCTTTCCTATTTTTCTACATATCTGCATATATATATATATATATATATATATATATATATATATATATATATATTTATATATAAATTTATATGTATGTGTGTGTGTTCGTGTGTGTGTATGTGTGTGTTTGTGTGTGCAAGGCATTAGAAAATATGCCACTATTTTAAACCCCCTGATGAAGAAAAATATTACGACCACAAACTATCCCTCGCGTTAGAAGAAAATTTTAATGCGATCGAGTACTTTGCCGTACATAGCAGTCGCATTTATAAAAGCATCTTAGCAAATGAATTTGACAATCTTTCAAAACATCAGGACCAAGAATATGAAACGAAAAAAATTGCGCATCACTTATTTCGATCATCCGATTGCTTAGAAAGATTGGTTCACTACTTACATCAATGCATTAAATTTTTCGGTAAGTAATGAACTATTTTAGAATCAACTGTTATTATTTATATAATAAATTCTTCAACATTCACTGATTCTGAGTAGAAGTGCTCTCTCTGTTGCCATTTTCTTTAAGTCTTCTTTATTGCTTATTCATTCTGTCCATAGAATTCTCAGTATCCTTCTGTAGAACCACATTTCTGTTGCCTCTAGTTATTTCTTTATCCTTGGAGATATTGTCCAACAATAACTGATTCTGAGTAGAAGTGCTCTTTCTGTTACCATTTTCTTTAAGTCTTTCTTGTTGTTTACTCGTTCTGTACATAGAATTCCCAGTATCCTTCTGTAGAACCACATTTCCACTGCGTCTAGTTATTTCTTCATCGGTGGGGAAATTGTCTAACATCCTCTGCCACATAAGCCAACACTCTTCTGTGTCTAAAGAAATTCTTCCTCTTCTCAGCATCACGTTTAACTTTTCGAATTCTTCATTCAATAGACCACTGCACGTTCGAACCTGGGTGTCGCATTTTCCATCCTTTGTTAAAATGCTCCACAGATATTTTGAACTTTCTGCACTTCTTTGGTGTGTATCTTTCCAATTCGTAAAAATAAAATCTTGATGAAAAAAAAAAAAAAAAAAAAGCAGTAAGTATTCATAAAAAAAAAATTGTTCTACACTATGGCAAAATTACATTATGAAAGAAACACTGCTGAAATAAAAAAAGAGCCTTTCATGTCACTCTTTGTTAAAATGCAAATCTTTACACGCTTTGTAATATTATCTTCGTCATTTTTTTTTTCAGTAGTTTTCGAAAGAATATACAAGTTCAGAAATTAAACCAGAACACTGGATTTTCCCAACCGTAATCGACGTGGGTGGAAGAAGGTACTGATCTTCTTTTATTGGCGTAGTCTGCTTTGTTGGGACTCTTTTCTGTCCAGTGACGTCATGTTTAAGTATTCGGACATTTTTCTTTGCAGGTGGACATATGTTTTCCTTTTAAGTGTTTCCGGTACTTAACGAATTTGGTTTCGTTTGAATGTTATATTTATTTTATTCATTTTTATTTATTCAATTGCATTTTACATGTTTGTTCTTTATTTTATTTTTGATATTATAATTTCGCCTTCACTTCATTCTCCAGCAGTATGTCGCTGAACTGTGGTTACTAGGCTAATATGGTATGGTAAATTTAGCGCGTTCTACTCTCATCAAATTTTTACTATTTGGACATTTTTCCAGACAAATTGTTTCTTCGTCTCGATTTAATTTTTTTTCTTTTTTTATTATTTCTTTTTCCTCCTTCTCCTCCACCTTCTTCTTCTTCTTCTTCTTCTTCTTCTTCTTCTTCTATTTTTATTCTTTTTCTTTTTCTTCCATTTTGTCGTGATATTGCAAACACCATATTTTATTTGATTTTGTGTAACGAAGCTAAACTAGCTGAAAAAACGAATTTTTAAGCGAAAACAGTTCAACTTTGACAACTTTTTCAGTATTTTCGAGACTTTGGAAACACCAAATTATATCGAATATGACTTTGTGTCAGCAGCTACCAAGACATGCTGAAAAAACACATATTTTTGGCTAAAAAGATTTCTTAAATATTCAGGGCGGTAGACGAAAATGAATGAATATACTACTCAGTAAATAAATGGAACATCTACTCAAATACGATAATTAAATAAGATATGAACAGATTGAGATAGATAGATAGATAGATAGATAGATAATGAAGAGAATAAAATAGGTATGCATAGGCCTAGATAGATAGATAGATAGATAGATAGATAATGAAGAGAATATGATAGGTATGTATAGGCCTAGATAGATAGATAGATAGATAGATAGATAGAGATAGATATGAACAGACTTGTATATATAGAAACAGACTGAGATATATCTATTCATCTATATCTAGAGAACATATCTATATCTATCTATCTATATATATATATATATATATATGTATATATATATATATATATATATATATATATATATATATATATATATATATATATATATATATATATATATAAATCAATACATAGACAGATAGATAGATGACAATTGAAGGCGCCCAAATAATATCATTCTGAAAGCTAACGCTACATATATATATATATATATATATATGTGTGTGTGTGTTGTTTGTGTGTGTGTGTGTGTGTGTATGTCTGTGTGTGTGTCTGTGTATCTCTATGTATATGTATATATCAATAGATAGATATATGACAATTGAAGGCTCTCCAGTAATATCATTTCGAAAGTTAAAGCTGTATATGAGTGCGTATATGTATATATATATATATATATGTGTGTGTGTGTGTGTATTTATATATATATATATAGATAGATAGATAGATAGATATGAACAGACTGAGATATATGTCCATCTGTCTATCTATCTATCTATCTATATATATATATATATATATATATATATATATATATATATATATATATCAATAGATAGATAAGTCTAAACTGAGACAGATATGAACAGAATTATATATATGTATATATCAATCTCTACCTATCTATCTATCAATATATATATATATATATATAGAGAGAGAGAGATATATATATAGATAGATAGATAGATAGATAGATAGATAGATAGATAGATAGATGACAATTGAAGGCGCTCCAATAATATCATTTTGAAAGTTAACGCTCCCATTCTTTGCAATCTGGTTTGCCTTGTCGTTCAATTCTCGTTGCTGCCGCCGCTCAATGAAGCCAATACTTTCTACCAGTTATGCATCAGCCGAGTTGTTTTGGTCTATTTGTTATTTTTTTAATAAAATAAAGGGAGAAATCAAGAAACAAAGCAAATAGCTATTTAGCCCCCAGTCATTTTGCCCAGGGGCAACGCTTGCAGTAATATTAATGCCAGGTTGCTTGGATTAAACAGACTAGCAGGAGGGCTTAAGGCGGAAAGAAATGCCGGTTTTCCTGATGGACGCCCGGCCGGACAGGCGTGTGGTATAAAAAAAAACAAAAAAAAACGACATTTTGCATGTAGGAAGGAAACGTGCAAAAATAAAATGAATAAATAAATAATGTCCTGAATGAAAATCGAGAAAATTGCAAAGAAAATTACTTTAAAAGTGTAAAGGAGAAAAACTTTAAAAAATGTTGATTTAAATTCCTAAATAGATTTTAATATAATTTTATTAATTTTTTATCATCTCTATCAATAAACGGAGTGGAGAGACGGTGGTGTAGTGAAATCAGAAAGTCGGGTTCGAATTCCAGTCAAATCCATTACATTCATTTACGTGTTAATAACCTTGAGAAAGGTATGAATCCTCTTCTTCTATAGGTAAATAGCAGGAAAGACAGGGTTCTATAGCCTTCGATGGCAACTGGTCTATCGTAAAAAGAAATGCCAACCTACTACGGGAAAAAATCTGGCTCGCCAGTCACGTATCGAAAGATACATGATCGCCTAAGCGTGTAACACATATGGCACATAAGTGACTGACTTTCCAGATGAATTCATACGTGCTAATACCCTTGGGCAACGTATGAATCCTCTTCTCGCCCCCAGCTATGGGTAAATAGAAGGACAGACCGGGTTCTATAGCCTTGGATGGCATCTTGTCTACCGCAGAAAGAAATAGCAACCTACTGCGGGAAAAATGTGCCTCGTCAGTCATGTATCGAAAGATACATGATCGCTTAAGCGTGTATCACGCATGACAGATAGCTGACTGACATAAAAAATTTAGAGGTCAATACTCCTACAGAATTCTGGGTTTAAGATTGCCGAACAGTACATTATAGAAACTTGCAGGCTACATCCTAAATGTCTGGATTATATATTATCGACTTCTAGGCACTATCACTCTTTAGGTTTAATTAATTTGCTTATTGTTTCTAAAAACGTATATTTGATTAATTAACTGTCCTTCGTTACTTTTCTTTTATTCGAGGATTGTTTTGATTTTCATATCAAAAATAGTTCTGTTTAAGAATATCCTCTTATATAGTGCAGAAAATTGTTCAAACTTTACATTTTACTTGGCCTTCAAGTAGGCATCTATAATTTGTAAAACTTTCCTTAACTATAACAAGCCTCCCCCAATATCCAACTAATTAATTTCTTTTGTCTTTACAGTCATATTCTTTGAACAAATATATTGAACGTCCACAACCACTTCAATATTTTATAAATAGTGAACATAAATCCCATAGAAAAACAACTATTCTTTCCTAGAAAAATGACCAAATGTTTTTTTTATTCATGCAAATACATGTATTTTATTTCTGTCAACACCTGTTAAATGGTATTCAGTTTCATCGTGTTTCATTTGTTTAAAAACGGCTAAAATTCTAATGTTTAGCTACCTGAATAAATACAAATGTTTTCGTTCATGTTTGCAACCAAATTATGAATGAAATGTTCATTTAAATTTTTGGTTTCAAAGATTTCAAGTAGAGAATATATCTTGCTTTACAAAGCGATAGCGTGACGGCGAAGTCTGCTAGTTATATATACATACACACACACACACACACACACACACACACACATATATATATATATATATATATATATATATATATATATATATATATATGATTTATAACATAAATACCCTTTTTAAAAAGAAAAAAAGAGAAAAATGGGTTGTCTGTGAAGGAAGTAAAAAAAAACTGATTATAATTTGCTAAAAATGATAATGACGAAAATTATCAAGGAAGGATTATTGTCAAGTGAATTTAGACTGGAAAGTATAAATATTTTGGAAGTAACATTCTGAAAATATATTGACTCAAAGGAAAATTTGAATATATATATATATATATATATATATATATATATATATATATATATATATTTGTAAGGAAAATTATTGAAAAATTATCTCAAAAGGAAAATTAATGAAAATATATTTTAGAATTAAAACGTAAAACAATATCATATAAAATAATCTTGTAATGAAAATTAATTTTTCAAAATTGGCAAACTATAAAGTATAAAGGAAGGAAAACTGTTTTAGAGAAAAAAAAATTCAAAGTAAAATATCTGCTGACGGAAATACAATCAAAATTATTTACAGGGGATAGCA